AGCTATCCATTTGGGGTATATTTACACCATCCAAGGACGAAAGAAAGAAAGAAAGAATTTTACAAAATAATACAACATGAAGAACCAAATAAGGATATGGACCTTACAATTTACAACACAAGAGGAGGATTTCTGTGTAGAAAACCCGTCCGTTGGCTCCGGTTAATGGGCAGGTGAACGTAAAAATCGTGCACGTCTTGCTTGTAAACCTCTCCCCTGTCCCTATCTATGGTGTAGCACACATAAACTGCATCGATAACATTGTCCAAAACTTGCACAAAAAAGCCGAAAATCACAATAAGCAGAGCCCAAGCCATGGCAACCACAAAGTATGCATTGTCATCTAAGTGAATAACGGCTTTTAGGAGAACAAAAACCTGCATTTACCGTGTAGAAACGGAGAAAAAGAAATTTTCAGATCCAAATTCCAAATATATATGTAATGTTTAGAGGGGGAAAAAAGACGAATCTTTTGAAATAACAACTATGATCTTCCCAAATGGATCATGGCATTTTGGCGAGCGATTATAAACAAACCCACAATTTTTGCTCATGATAATAATTTGTTCCTATTATACAAATTGCATCTTTTCAAGGTGGGTATTTGTAAAGGATTGCATATCTCAAGGGGATTCTTTGCAGTACCTTAAGGGAGACAGAAAGTAACTGAAAATTTTCATAATATAATTGGGGTCTTCCTTTTGCAGTTAAGTCAAACCTAAAGAGAAGTCTCTGTATTTATCAAGAAAAAGAAAAGAATAAATCTAGGGCTAGTTACAAAATGATCATGAGGTCCAGAACAATTAACAGTTTCAATATTTTACTGATATGAATATAAGGAAACTATTCGAAATGTTTTTCGCTACTAAAGGAGAAATAGAAAAGAAGAACTAAAATGCATTGCTTTAAGTTTAAAATTCTGCGGGTTTCATGGTAAAGACCCTATAGGTTAAGTGGGGTTTTTGTAACTATCCATAAAAATGATAAAGATGACAAGTCATCTCAAGCCCCGCACAAGCATCACAGCTCATTTTATTTCGTTATATAGGCTAATAGCTTTTAAGTGAATTTAGAGCTTATAGCTGATAGCTTACGACTTATGGCTGAAAAGCTAGCTTATATGATAAAAGTGTTTAGGAAAATTAGCTGAGATAAAATTTTCAATGTACTTAAAATAAAAGCTACCTAAGGAAGCTTATGAGATAAACTCAAGCTTTTTTAAAATGCTTGTCCTACCAAACCAAACTTATTTGAATTTTGAATACAGGAAGCTTATAAGCTAATCAAATAAGCTAAAAGCTATCTTATAAGCTTACCAAACACAGTCATAATCTACTTCAATCATACCTATTAAAAAGGTTTGGCTCTAGCCCTCAACTGATTACACACTATCCCATGCGCTTAAAAGCAGTCGAACAATTTGAAAAATCTCATCAACTAAAACAATTCAAGATGAAATAATGTAAAACTTATTTACACAAAACACAAATTCAAAGAGATAGGGACTGTAAAAAAATTACCACGATGGCATAAACTGCCGACAACACAAGAACAATCCCGAACAATACTCGAGTAGAGACAGTCTCCACGAACACAGTCGATAAGAGGTTTCGTTTCAATAGCTCGTAAGTCATCCTTGAGGCTTTACAATAGGCCTCGCCCGTTATGGCAGCAAAGTTGATTGTGAACTTGTTGAGGAAATCAACGGCCGAGAGGAGGTTATTCGCACAGCACCTTAGGATTAGGTTCACAATTCCCGATGAATCTTCCTGCCTCGCGCTATCGACCACTGCCCGGACTAAACGCACGACAAATATTAGCAATCCCGAGAAGCAAATTGTGCCCAATGAAGGGCCAAATGCATTTCTGCAGTAAGATTATTCGGGGCAAGTTAAGTTAGGAAAATGTGATATTAACTCGGGCAACTAACATCTTTTGAGAAAAAAAAAAAAGACCAAAAAAGTCGAGGATTTGATTATGTCGTGCATTTTTTCATTGATTGGGCAAAAATATTATCATCATCACCATTTAGAGAAATATTACTGACTATCCTCATAAAAGTAAAACAGAATCAAACATTGGTGGGCTTTTTGTAATCTTGTAACTTTCTATAGGCTCTCATAATTTCATCAAAATGTCATGTTTTGCTTTGGAATTGTCCCTAAATCATTATAGTATGAGACAATTTGTAATAACACAGTAGACGTCGAACTTCAATACACTCAAAATTATACCATTAGAAAATGTCTAAATGATATCAGACGTTAAAAGTAGCATTTTGCAACACTCTACAACAAAGATCAGATCGAAGAATTAATTCCATGAGCAAAAACAACATTAACAAATTCCCTCATATCCACCACAACTTTCCTAGAAGTCGATTGGAAGAACACTAGACAGAAAATTGGCTTCAACATATTTACGAATGTCTATAGCAGAGAATGCGAAAATCACACACCGCTAAAAAGAATGATAATTTAATTCAAACCAACCTCAAGGAACTTCTAATTCTGTGCTTAGGCCCCGAATCATCATCCTTCGAAAAATACCATTGTGCAATAGTCCCACTGATAACATACACCTGAGCTTCCACCATAGCAGCCATAGACCACAAAATTGTTAAAATCGCCAATGTGTAATAAGCCGGCACCCAATTATCCTGCTTCCACACACATATAAACTCCCCATGTTTTTCTCTAGGCACAATTTTCCCGTTCCAATTGGCGAATATCAAGAAAACAATAACCGGGGTATAGTAAATGAACAACCCAAGACTCAGAGCTGGAAGAACAGCCAACAAGGCTAAATTTCTCCACAACGCATTCGAAGCCACTCCAATTATTCCCACAGTTAGCTCAATTCTATGCCAGTTGATCAAGAAAATCCACACGATAACCCCAATTATCAAGAACACGAAAATCAGGACTAAAATTCGATAAGCTAGGGGAAACGCATGGCTGCAGGTAGAGCTCACTGTACAAGCAACGAACCAGTAGACGTTAATGGCGATGGGGACTATCACGAAAAAGGGAATCGAGGCATAAACTATCTGCTTCGTGTAGTGTTTGAGCAGCCTAAGCACGGAAAGCACAAAGGGGCCGCTTAAAAACAGGGTTATCACAAGTGTCCATATCAAGCTCTTAACAAGACTGGAATTCATGGAATTTAAGGTCGTGGGCTTGTCTGAAAAGGGTGAATTATCAATCAGGTCGGTGAAAAGTGACGACTTTGGAGCATTTACAGAGAAATCAATACTGTTTTTCAGCAGAGAGCAAGAGGACGACGTCGTGTTGAAGACGAAAGACGAAATTTGGCGGCGGTGAGGGTTTCTACGGACAGAGGCGAAAATTCCGAAGACGAAGGTGCAGAGAACGAGGAGACAAAACAGAAGTAGAAAAGGCCAGTCTTTAATGGAGCGAGGGCCGTAATTGTAGGAGATCTGAAGGTACTGTGACTGGTCCTCTTGTTCTTGCTCGTGTCCGGAGATGGAGGCGATTGGCGGCTCAAGCGGCGGGTAGGGTTTGGAAAGGAGAGGTTCGGCGGTGGTGGAGGAGGGCTCGTGATGGGTGGAAGACAGCTTGTTGGGGTCGTCGGAATTGTCCATCGGCGGCGGAGGGCGGAGGTTCGGTGGTGGGAAAGTGGACTTTTTGTTTTTGTTTTGCTCTTGTTTGAATCAGATTAATTAAGCTGACCATTTCATGTGTGAGCTGGCGATTGTGGATCATGATGCCACGGTTTTTTTTATTATTATTATTTATTTATTTTTATCAAACTATTTAAAAATTTGCAATAATTCAATAGAAATTAGTTTTGAATTTTATTAATTTGTCTTTATCATTTTTTGTCACATTAAAGTTTAGCATGAAATTTTACACATGAGCAAAGCTCTCAAACGAACCGAGCCACTCGAGAGCTCGAGTCGACTTGCAAAGACTTGAAAATATAAAAAAAAAAATTCACAATTTTTTATTGTTCGATTCGTTAATGTTGATAAACAAATTGAGCTCGCATTAACACAATTATGCAAGACTAGATATTGCCTTAATTCTTGGAACTGGATAGAAATATAGGGCTCATCTACACATAGATGCTATTAATCAATAGTAGTCACAATACATGATCCATTTTGATAGAAAATTGAATTTATTTACTTTTTAATAAAATATCGAATTGACATTAAGCAATATTTGTTTACTTTAATTGAAGATTTTATATTTGTAATTGTTAAATCTTACAGTCTTGTTCAAGAAAAAAGTATGTTGGAAATAACATAGGATAGTGTTTTTTCTTAATGTATGACTCAGCTTAAAAATAGTAGCTTGAATAACCTTTGTTATTTCTCCTCCATTGAGATTTTTGGCAGCGAGATTTTCTGAGATTCTATAAATATATCACAACTAATTACCTTTTTTTTTTTCCTAGACTCAATAATTAAGACAGACACAACTAATTTCCCATGGCCTGGATGAAATCATAGGAAAATCTGAAACAGAACATTTTTTTTAAGGTAATATTCATGCAGCTTATTATATTTATTTTCCTTTATTTTTATTTATTTTTCATTATTACCTCATAACAGCACTCAACTACAACAACAGGGTTTCTGCATAAATATTTTCTTTCGGTTGGTTTTGAATTGGACTGACCTAATCATTAGGCAGAAGCACCTTTTTTTTTAACAAATATGCATACTTTTATTAAAAAATGTCATATTTGAAAAAAAAAATATATAAAAAGAAGTATGACAGTTGATGGTATAATATGCATTTTGTTCAAATAGTATCACGAGAGTGACACTTCTAACAATTATTTTGGCTGAAAGAAGAATTTGTAATTTTCTTGCCAATATTTAAAAGCCATCATTCTAAATGTCTTCTGGGATTTGTTCTTCTTGTGCTTGAAAGAATAGTTTTCTTCAAGGCATGAATTCTCACAGCCAAAATTTAGGCAATGTGAATTTTATTTAATTGCTTCAATCATACATTAAGCTACAGTTTTTTCTGTACAAAAGTATAAAAACCTCCAAAATCAGCAACAGACAATATAAGCAAGAAAATAGGTTACCATAAACTCCAAAAAAAAACTGGGAATTTCACATTTGAATTTGAAATGCTTTTTGTTTTATCCTTGCTTTGTCTTTTTATGACCAACTGACCAAATCAAGTATCTTTTTAAATCCAGTACATTCTTTCTTGATCCATGCTGTAAAAATTTCACAATTTGGCCCCTTTATTAATTTGCAGGTATAACCTTTCAATATTTATTTTTTTCATTTCACAAGCCATGAAGAACTTTGCATTCATTTTACTACTTGTGCTCGCCATTCTCCTCCGATCCTCAACGAGCACCTTTACTTCTTCAGATGACGAACCATTGTACGATTATTCCGCAAGCACCGAGGTAATTAGATAGTTAAATGAACAACATAAATTGCACAAAACGTATTTTATTTTATTTTTTATTTTTAGACTTTTTTCTCCATATGGTGTTTATCAGTGTAAATTAGTTCCTGAGGAACCACTCTACAATGGTGGCATCATCAAGAACCGAGCAGTCAATCAAATCCCGATAAACTCCTCTGCTTTCGTCCTGAATAACCTTAAGGCCAACACAATATACACCTTTTCCAGTTAAGCTCGGAACGTAAATAATGATATAGATATATGAATTCCAATCCCGAATAATAATACGTGAATTTTAAATTAATGGTGATGATCGACAGGTTGGGTTAAGATAACGAGCCAAGAATCGGCTCTGATACAAACGAGCTTGGTAAGTGGCAATTTGACTTTGGTCAACTGCACGGGCACCGTTCTTGCTAGGTTCGGGTGCTGGACTTTCCTCAAGGGCGGATTTTCTCTCGACTCAAATATAGACCAAGCTCGTATATACTTTAAGGTACTTTCGAAATCGAAATACGTGAAATAGTGCAAATTTATTGATAATAATATTTATATTATGATACACGTTTTGTCTCGTCTCATCTCGTCTCGTGCAGAATGAAGACGGGCTACAAATGAATGTGTCGATTTCCAGTGCTTCGGTTCAGCCATTCACCATTCAACAATGGGAAAAGAACCAAGAGAACATTATAGACAAAGTATGTAAATACAAATAGTCGAATAATATAAAATTTGAAGAAAAAAAAAGAATGATTTCTTAGTCACAAGTATGGCTGCAAACGAACTGACTCGAGCATGTTATCGAGTCGATCTCGAGCATAGGTTTTGGAAGGTCTAGCCGCTCGCGATATGTAGTGAATTACTAAAATACCCCTTATATATAAATACTATAATATTTTATATATGTACTTAATGGTAATTTTACTTGAAATTTGAGTCGAACTCGAGCAATCTTTCGAACATTTTGTTTTCAATCGATCTCAAGCCGAGCTCGAGTGATTATCTTCTCTTGTCGAGTCGATCTTGAGCGTCATAAATCGAGCTCGACGAGCTAGAGCTTGAACAGGTAAAAAAAAAATCAATCTTGCTCGATAACATCAATGCTCGATTCGACTCGGCTTGTTTGCAGCCTTTGCTACTCACAAGTTAACAAATGAATGCAGGAAAGAAAACGGGCGACGACTTTACATGTTTTGAGTGTCGACGGTAAAAGGTTGCCCGACGCCAAAGTCATCGTTGAGCAAGTCACTCGAGACTTTCCATTCGGGACAGCCATTTCCGAGTTTATTCTAAGAGATCCGGCCTACCAAGTAAGATCAAATCAAAGCCCCAAATCCTCTATTAAAGTCTTAAAAGATGGCTAATATATTTTCCATTAATTTTTCGAGCCAAAAAATAGAAATGGTTCCTCGAGCGGTTCAACGCAGCCGTGTTCGAAAACGAGCTGAAGTGGAACTTTACCGAGCCCGAGCAGGGGAAAGTCAACTATCACGGTTCCCGACAAAATGCTCGATTTTCTCCGAACAAACCAAGTCGCCGTCCGTGGCCACAACGTGCTGTGGGAGGCCGAATACATGGTCCCGTCATGGGTCAAGAACCTGACGGGCCCACACGAGCAGAAATCGGCCGTCAAATCGAGAATACAAAGCGTGATGTCGAAAAACGAGGATGAGTTCGTGGGCTGGGATGTGGACAACGAGATGCTGCCGTGGGATTTCTACGGGCCGAGACTGGGCCCGAACGCCAGCCTGGAGTTCTACCGGGCGGCCCAGGAGGCCAGCCCACGGGCCCGCCTTTTCATGAACGAGTTCAGTGTGATGGAGACTTGCGACGCCAGGTGTACGGTGGATCGCTACGTGGAGAGGCTGCGTGGCCTAGTTGGCGGTGGGGTCCGAAGCCTTGGGATTGGGCTTCAGGCCCATTTTACCGACCCGAACCCAGCACTTATCCGGGGCACGATTGACAAGCTGGCGACCTTTGGTTTCCGGGTTTGGATGACCGAGGTCGATATCAGCTCAGAACTTGATCCTCAAACACAGGTCAGTATAAAAAAAAACCTGCAAATTTGTAAAATGTAGGTACATATTTTTTAGCCGGAGCGAACCGACTGATCGAACTTCAGTTAATCGAAAATTCGGTTTATTCATCATAGAAACCAAAAATTGAACCGAAATTTAGGGTTCGGTTCGGTTCGGCGGTTCGATTAGCGGTTAATCACAATAAATATTAATCTTCTCAATAAATTTTGAATTTTTAAGCCGAACCAAAAATTTGATTTTTTATCTTAACCAAAAAATTTGAATTTTTTATCACTTCTTTATTTTCTCAATAAATTCCAAAATTCTCCTCTTTTTAGAGATCTTGGACTCGAACCATGACTTGGACTATGACGAAGCTACTTTTGAATGTAAATTAATGCTTTAGCCATTTGAAGGGTGATTGAAGCTCGAAAATCATCAATTATTGAAGCAAATTACTGTTTCTATAATTATATATATATATATATATATATATATATATATAAATCGATTTACGGTACAGTTCGGTTAACAGATCACTATTATCTAAACTGAACTGAAAACCGAAATTTTAAAAAAATGTAAATCGGAAAACGAACCAAATATTCAATTTCGGTTCGGCTCGGCTAACCGAATTGTGTGCACCCCTACATATTTGTGCTCGGCTTTTAACAGCTCGGTTTAACGAACATTTGTGTTTTTTCTTTTTTTTCGTGCAGGCCAAGAATTTGGAAGTGGTTTTAAGAGAAGGTTTTTCGCACCCTTCGATAGACGGGATAATGCTTTGGATGACACTGCACCCGAACGGTAAAGGATGCTACCAAATGTGCCTAACGGACTACGATTTCGAAAACCTCCCAAGTGGCGACACGGTGGACAAGTTGCTCAAAGAATGGAAAACCGAGAAAGTCGAGGGAAAAACGAACGAGCGTGGCAACTTTAACTTCTCGGGTTTTCTTGGGGATTATGAGCTGACCGTTACCTACAAAAACAGGACATCTCGTACGAGGCTGTCCTTAGGCCGTGGTGCCGAGACAAAACACTTGAATATTTATTTGTAGGATCTTTGTTTGAAAAACGGACCCGAATCAGTCGATTTTACTAGAAGATTTATTATAACAGTTGAAAACTTTTACCTTATGGCTATTTGGGCTTCTGGTTTTTGGTTAGGCTCAAAATGCAGCTCATGATATGAACAAAATTAATCAGCATGACTATTCATTAACATTTCAGCACAAACTGGTAAAAATGGCTTCTGTTGTTGAAAAATGACACTTTACTAGGAGAAAAAGGCAAAAGTATCAACAAAACAAACATCACTATGGACAATATTTCAAGAAAATTAAAGTAAGAACCAAACAAGAATAAGAGCTAGAAAAATAAAATAAAATAAATATAAAAGAGGCACTCTCCTAAGTATGAAACCATATAATAACCAGCACATGGCAATTATTTATTTTATTTTTTCTAAAGAGCCAGTCTATAATTGCAGTCTTGTTTTAATTATAATGCAAACAATTTAATTTTTAAATTGTTGTATGGATGTTTTTAGCTTACCAGATTCATATGTATTGCCTCAATGCTTGGAATTGAAAAGAGGCTTCTTTTGGAGAAGTTCATCCACACATAGGTGCTACTAAACGATAGTACTATGATCCCATTTTGGTATAAAATTGAATTTATTCAGCTATTGATTAATAGAATATTGGATTGAAATTGAGCAATATTTATTAGACTACTATTATTCCTATGCAATTTGTTTATAATGGCCTAAAAATAGAAGAAAAGGATTATTTTTACACCTCTAATTGTTTCAACTTAAATGAAGATGTTACAACTCTTGATTTTTTAATTATTGTTGTTAATTAGACCTAATAGTTAAATAATCATACTTTTTCAATCGTGTAAGGTTATTGTTAAAACGTAGACCTAACGGTTAGGCAACCATACTTACTCAACAAATATGCATACTTTTACACAAAACTGACATAACTTAGAAACAATACAATATAATTATTGCATTTGTTAGTATAAGTATATATTTTTGTTCAAAAAGTATAACGAGCCCATCGCCTAGTCACGTCTCACATAAGAATTTGTGTTTGGATAGATATATAAAACTCAAACTAAAATATTATATACACTCTAAAAATTAAAACAACAAAAATAAAAGATAAGATATTTTTAAAACGTATGAATCCCCTAACAATTATGCGGTTTCATACAAAAAATTTTGGAAGAAAAAAATTATGGGGGGAAATAACATAGGATAGGATTACTCTTTGATGTTTGTATGACCCAGCTTGAAAATAGTAGATTGAATAAACCCCCCTCCATCAAGATTTTTGACCTCATGATTTGTTGGGAATCTTTAAATATTTCACCACGAATTACTTCTTTTTTTGCCTACAAATAAAGACTAAAAAATTAGACTTTCATCCCATGGCCTGGATGAAATAATAGGAAAATCAGAACAGACCACATTTCTGAAGGTAATTACATGCAGCTTATTATGTTTGTTTTTCTTTATTTTTTTTTATTCTCATTTTTTTGCCAACATTTTAAGCTATCATTGTAAATTTCTTTTGGGATTAGTTCTTGTGCTTGAAACTTGAAAGAATAGTTTTTTCTTCAAGTGCATGAATTCTCACAACTAGAATTTAATTCTATAATTTGCTTCAATGATACATTAAGCTACAGATTTTGAGTCCAAAAATATAAAACCTCCCAAAACAGCAACAGACAA